GCTTCTGATTATTCCTTTCTGGTCCCTTTGCGATTTGCTTTTCCTAAAATTAAGGGTGTCACCTTGATCCAGTCGTCTTTATTTTGCTAATCTTACTGTTGACTGGTCTTCGCCGAGTTTGTTTAGGCGATATGCAAAGTTTTCGCTGATCCTGCCTTCTTCAAGTCTTCTATTTATTAGATTTTTCTCGGTCAGTATTTCGATGGCCTCTCGGATGTTGCGTTTTCTCGTGTTATCCACCATACGCAGCTAGCCTTTCTGCCAATTTACAGTCAAAATCATGTCCCGTCCATGCAACGTGCTCCACTATTTCGTATCTTTCAGTATCCATGTTTTTCCAGAATCTTTGGTGTTCCTTGATTCGTAGGCCTATTTTTCTTCTTGTTTCACCGATAGACTTCTTTCCACATTTATCGCATTTGAGGCATTAAACTTCTGAGCGGAGCAAGGATGAGGATAGCCACTATTTTTTGAAAGTGTAGACTTTAAGACCCCTCGTTTTGTTGATGTGTCCTTTTGAATTATAGAAATGGTCTTAATGAAGAGTTGTAGCTCGATGCCAAATTCAATGAATCTCAATAACGATTCAGAATATGATACCTGCAAATCTTCTGGGAATTCCGCATAGTCTTGAAGATGACAGGCAGGCTTCGGCTGATGACACAGTACAGGTTAGGCTTTTCGAGGTCCCATAAACATAACAAACAGGGTTGGACAAAATGTCTGTATTTTTCAAGGTGGCTGGAATCGAAAGAGTTCCAATGTGAGTTGATGACAGATAATTGCTTCCTAGGGATCATTTTGATGCAGGAAGTGATACTGGCCTTGTTTTGTTGATATAATTTACGAAATTTTAATCTCATCTTCAATTAAAGTAAAACTTTGTAAAAAATATCTTTTTAGGTGGAACCCATTGTAAGACAATGGTAGAGTAAAATCGGCCTATCGTTGTCTTCTGAAAGGGTTAGTCTAGAAATCAATTTTTCCAGACACTTTTACTGGAAATAGAGGAAGACTTAATCTTTTCGAATGCCTATCTTCACATGCTACATAAAAGGTAAAGCTGTTGGCAAGATTATAGTTGGCCCCTAGTCTTGACTTGTTGTTTCGTTAATTTCAACAAAGAATGACAATGCCTTTCATTATGAGACAGGTTAAAGTTACGCACAAACGGAGAGGGTCTGCAGAGTGCTCGAATCGATAATAACAAATGCTTTGGGTGATGCCGATTTGCGAAAGTTTTCCACCAAATATTTTTACACAAAATTGAAGGTTTCTATTCTCTCGACTTTTAAGATTTATGAGTGCTTTGCTTACACAAAAATGACTGATCATTACTCAGACTCAAACAAGCCCTGCTCAAGAATGACCCAACTTTATGATTCTGGGTCGTTGGATTGGAAAGGTTCAGGCATATTTTAGTAAAAACCTGAAAAATCTGGCTTATAAGAACTTCAAAAGACTTGCGAAATTGATTTAAGTATCATCAATAGTTCTAATTTAAGCCAATATCTTGTGATATGAAATGAGTTATCCTGTAAACGAGAGAAAAAAGAGAGGGTGTGAGCTTTGTGTGTATATGTGGGAAAGGAAGAGAGAGAAAAATAACTGGGAAATAGGGGCGATGGATCGATTTGTACTGCATCTTGAAAATTACGTTGAAGGCTTTCTTCGTGTTAAAATGGGAACGAAAATTCCTACAAAAAAATTAATTTGGCATCTCCAGATCTGGCTACAAAGAAGGCATATACGTCGCTAAAGACAATGAAGTTTTAATGGTTTATGTGATAGCCCCAAATGAGGTACGGGCCTGATGATTGCCACAAAAGGACGCCCTAATGACCTTCCTAAACAGATGGGAACGGTTAAGTCATGCATTATGGGCTCTATTTCGGACATAAAGAAGTGTTAGAAGTGAATGATGCCATTTTTTGCATTTATATACTGATACGATTAACAGATAAACTTTATGTTTGCCCACTGACGTCATACAAAGGTAACAAATAAGTTTTCAGTGAAACGATTAAATTCATAAATAAATCGCCTTTGCGAAGATACTCAGATTTTATTTGAACGGATTTGGCAACATTTATTTGAGTCATCCAACGTGCTTCTTGAAGGGCCGGGTGGGTTGGTGCCAATGAATGCGTCCAAAAGACGAGATGAAATGAGAATTTTTCGTAGCGAATTAATGAAGGCACAAGTAAAATAAGCCGGGTCCCTCTTCGACTAAAATCTGATTATAAAATTTTTTTATAGCAAGACAACATAACGAGTTGCCGTCCATGATGACAACCGTTCATCTTTATTCCAACACCCTATCTTTAATGGTCACGTTAATTTTCTCCTAGTGCAATAAAATGGGTATTCACTACTCACAAGTAGACTGACAAAGGGAAACGCTTTAAATAAAGTCCTACTGAATGAATGGTAAATGCTAGCTTCTAAGTAATACCACTATGGTAGGGACACATACATGCATGCATACATAAACACACATATATACATTATTATGCAATGGGGATTTGCGAGCAGATGCTTAGTTGCGAGAATGTAATAGATGGCAAATGTATAAGATAATTCTGTCATTGTTGTAGTCTTCATGTTAGTTGTACAGGTGCAATTTTTCGCATGTACATCATCCTCGTGAGGCGCCTGGAAACGGAAGCCAGTGAAAAATGCTTCCTAATTGTTGGCCTGCCTCTGGCCATTTGGATATTTTCGGCCAGCAATATCGGTGGAAACATGCTAAACCCGAGAAACAAGTCGCTGCAAGAGGAGTCGACTGGAAGGGTATAGCAAAACGTGTCTAAATCATTCCTGTTCAAAGACCCAAAAGGCCGAAATCGTTACACGTTAACGATTTAGTACTTAATGATGATAGACTGCGATGGATCATCCCACTTTGTGGGCTGCAAGAGAGTCGGAAGTTGAGGAATGTACCAAGGCTAAGAACATAGAACCTGCCTCTAAATAACTTCTAAAACTTGGGCGAAACTAGGTCGCACCAAGTTTCTCCGCTTGTTATGAGAATTCGGTGATTGTCGATCTTCAAACGATTATCAGTCCTGACGAGAAGCTACAGCTTTGTCTGATTTCAGAGCGCTTTGATGCCCTCCAATATCATGTGGCCCCCATGGCACTGGTGTTCAGGGAATCAGCTTAGCTGGACTCGGATGTCGGCTACCTGAACGCGAAAAGAGAATCTCGTTTGACCGACGGTGTAGTGAGTCTGTTTTCTTGCTTAACTAATCAAACATATGCTCTTGCAAATTTTTTACAAATGGGGTAGTGCGTGGTGTGTGCATGCCAAGTCAGATTCATCTGATGTGTGAGATTCCTAATCAGTCTAGAATCTATTCAAGATGTTTCTGTCTCTTCTTAAGTCTATACAACAGCCACCAATAAGTCCTGCATAATTTCTTACTTGCATTCCTCCTATGCAGGTTGTTAAACGTTGTACTTATTTTTATAGACTCGCCAGACTCGCGATTCAAAATGGATCCCCGTAACCTACAAATCGTTGCGTTTTGGATCATTCTATTTCGTGTCTTGTAGTAAAGATGTATTCAGCTACCTCGGACCTTTTAACACATATTCTTTTACAGGCTGTTTTGTGTTAGATAACTCCTTTCGCTCGGGTTGGCAGGTCTTCCCCACATAGAAATTACCGCATGAACCCACAACATTGAGGCATCCTGCTCTGGAATGAGTGCCAAGTAACTCTAGAAAAGAATGCATAACTGAGGATAATGTCAGTTTATCTTTAAGCATTGTTCTGATGTCCAGTAGTTCATCCACCTTTTTCGAAAGCTGACAGGATGACAGCGACAATAAACGAGGGTTTACTAACAATTACCTCGCATTGTATTTATGGGTAAATAAATTAATTGTCAATCAATCCAATTGGAAAATTAGTTTGAACTAAGATATTCTTCAAGCTATTTATTTTCAGCTGTCGATGGTTTACATCACCAAGACACTGACACCTTATTATCATCGATTTCACAAAACCTACTTTGATCGCACTTGCTTGATTAAAAAAGAAATTGGGAATGAAGCCATCAAGTGTGAGTTCCCTAAATATGTCCCTAGCCAACTTAGTACCTTATTTATTTACCAAATTTCCACAAAAGGTGACTAGTCGTCTTATCCAACTCCGCAATTAATTTGGTTACTCTATCTAATCCATTCGGTATCGTCAAAACTTCATATAATTTACCTTTGTCGTAGCGTCATACAGCAAAGTAGATGTTAAAATATCTAATATATTTCTTGGTAACTAAGGGTGTTTTTTAGATTAAACGATCCTATAAGTAAGCGTATAGTTATTGGTTAAAAGTGGAGATACACCTAGTGTTTGCTCATATCTCTTTCTATTGCAAATAAAATTGGTACAAATCATGACTAAATTAGTCAACTTATTGATAAATAGTTTGCTTAACTTTTGACCTGTTAAGATCTACAGTTGATAATGTAAATTTAACCATAGGTTGTAGATATAGAAATTACGTCTAAACGTAAAATCATATCATCACTTTATGTCTGGGGGCATTGAACGAAGATTAAAAGAAAAAACCCGCAATATTTGCAAGGGATTTGATGAGTTTCACTTAGAATTTTTGCTAAAAAGCAGCGATGACCTCAAGTTAGGTACCAAAAAATGCAGTACCGATAAAAGGTTTTGAATCCATATCAGGTGCTATACATTCACGGGTTCCGCTGTGTCACAGAACAGTTGGAACATTCAAGGCTAGCAATTTGTAATGAAATTGTCAATGAGGCAAGCATGTAGTTGCCATTAAGTTCGACGAACCGATTTATATCAGATGTGTGTATATTTAAAATGTCATAATTCACTCACCACATATGTAATTTAGAATTTGTGTTCAAAGTCACATCTGCGCTGTGAATATGTAGTAATGTTGCAAAATGTAATCACGATTCACCTCACCTGGTTTCAAGCCTCGCAATCTGTACCGAGGAGACCTCGATTATTTCAGACCTTTGGTTAACTCTGAATAAACAGGTTTTTTGGTGGCAAATCTAAATAAACGTATGCGAAGAA